AAGTTGGACTACCTGGTATATAATGTTGTGCTACGTGACTGATAGCGACACAGCTATGTTAGCATAACATTAGCACAGTGAAGCTGGAGGATGAACTTTTTTTCCACTCGATAAAAGTTAACGTGACGGATTCTGGTGGTTAGGGACAAATGCAATCACATAGCAGGATGCTACACGGGCCAAACTTCAGTCAGGAGAACAACTGAGATTATTCATCCACAATACAAGGTTAGTCATTAATATACTGCAACAACATGGGAATAGAGCAGCTGCGAGAGAATTCAACACTAATGTATCAATGTTACAGAAGTGGAGGAAGCGCAGTTTTTGGCTTTCCCCATATTTCAAAAGTGCTTCATCTCTTTGCTATGACTGTCGCCCGGCATAATTTGCAGATGATAATGGTTGTAGCCGCTGCGATGCTTTTGACCAAAACAGGCACAGCTTGATGACATCATCAACATGCGCTATCGCGATAGAGCGGTATAGTCAAAATCTCTATCGTTGGCCAAATTTATATCGTTTATATCATATATCGTTTATATCGCCCACCCCTACTTATAATAGTGTAGCTTATTGGTTAAATTTGAGCACGATGTCATCAGCATGCATTGAGAAATTCAAAGTTGCAGTTTTCTCAGAGATATACAGTGTTTAGACTTGTTGGAATTGAATCTTTCGCCTTTTACTCGGTCTGAACATGTGTGTCCTTTACAGAACTGATCCCAGTAAAGTATGTTTTTTCTTTGTTGATAGATGTTTGAAAACTTATGGTGCTTTGAAAAAAAGATTTAGACAAAGAAACTCAGAAACAATTTTCTCATAAACACAATAATTTACAAGATGAAGCAGCACAATGAAAGAAAGTCATCATTTTCAGAAGAAAAGCAGTATGTACAGCAACACTGATCATTACATTTCTATTAATTTAAACTCTGTCACATGTAAATGTTACATTTATAGCACTACCTTAACTTCTGGCTCTTGAACAGATGTTAAATGAAGAGAATCTGCTGGTTAATTATGTCTTACCAAAAAGCTCTGGAGACTCAATGTTTCTTTTCTTCGTTCTTTTCTTTTTTTGTTTTTCATTAATACAGAATGATTGACAGCAGCCAGACTGACACACATTAGAGCTGTTGCTATCAGTCCCAGTACAATATAAACTGAGGTTCTTTCCCGACTCTCTGCTCTTGAACTCAAAGTTGGTCTCTGTGGTTGGAGCTGATCAGCAGCTGCTGTAAAAAAGCATAAAATGTAATTGTTGACACTTGCTCTTGTTCATGATCTGGACTTAAAAAAAACACAGTTCTCAGCAGGACTCATTCAAGTCTGTCAGTGATATAGAAATAAATTAGTAAATAAATAATGGTAATAATAATATTAATATTAATCATGATAAACTTACCAGTGACGTTGAGTCGACATCTTCCAACACCGAAGCCATAATCAGTGTTGACCTCACACAGGTACAGACCCGAGTCATCAGTCCTGAGTCTGGACAGTTGAAGTCTGATTCGTCCTTCTCTGAGGGCGTCTTTGTCACTCTGGACTCGTCCTGAAAACTTTTCATCCTGAGACTCTGACACCTCAACACCTTCATGAACGTGATACAGGACTGACGATTTATCACTGATAAAGAGTTCACAGAGGACGTTGAGAGTTTTGTTGGATCTGTCAGGTTTGGTGGTGAACGTCCACTCCAGTGTGATGTTGTGGTTCTCCTCTGCCTGATAGGAGGTCTGTGTCACATTGACTACAAATGATCCTGTTGAGGAGACAGAGAGGGAAAGAGAGGAGCAGACACACTGAGAACTGGAACAAATCTGTTGTTGAGCTTTATTTGGAGTTCATAAAGTGAAACTGTAAACTAACCAGAGACACATGAGGTGAGGATGATGAGCAGCAGGATCCTGCAGATCATCTTCTCCCTGTGAGAGGAGACAGAGGTGAAGAGTCATCAACACGTGAAGTCAAAGGTCAGGCAGTAAAGCTAGAAGAAGGAAAATCTACAGTCTGACTTCATTCATTCATTACTGTCACGGCTGGCGGGGTGAGCCGTGTGGTGTGGAGGGAAAGGAGGACCCAAAATGCAGACAGCGACTGAGATCATACAAATGGGGTGGGAGGCAGAGAGACGCAGACGAGGAACAGGACACCATGAAACACAGACGAGCCGACAACGAACACAGACCGACACCCACTATATATACACACACACGGTAATCGGGTAATGGCAGACAGGCGGGGACACAGCTGGAACTAATGGACATAACGAGACACAACCCTACAAAGTAAAACAGGAAACACACAGACTGTTTTACATAACAACACGGGGACATGAACAAAGCACCGAGGACAGACGCAGGTAGGGAAAATAAACACTACAACCAAACCCCAACAACCAATACAAGATCAGAATAAACTAGAAAAGTGATAATAATCAACTGAAAGCGCTGGGTCACCCAGGACCCAGCGACCCAGGACCATGACAATTACAACATCTGATCCTGTTCATTATGCTGATTATTACACTGACTGACCAAAACTACATGAATACTTTCACCTTCGTCTATAAACACACTTCAGTGTAAATAAAATCGTTGTCTTCACAATGTATTTCCTAAAGCGCTTACATTTCTCTTATTTTTCTTTACAGAGAAATCATCTACTGAGTTTTCTGTAAATAACTCAGTTCACATCTAAAATCATGAACATATACATCCTTATAATTAAGAGGATAACATTAACAACGCTAAAGTATTTCACTTTTTTTTTAGAATTAATTTTTTCTTCTGCTTAAAAAACACAAAATATATCCTGCCACTGTTTCTGTGCAGCTAATAATCGTTATTCTGTACACGCATTGAGCTACAGCATTTAAAACCCTCTCTTGACATCAGTGTGCAGTGTTTTTGTCTTGCATATCTTTTTAACCTGTTTTTTTTACCTTTGCCTTTTCTTGGACTTGTCTCTAACAAGATTTTATGCAAAGGTGGAGAAACATGTGAGGAGGAAGTTTTCCTGTTAAACTTACTGGGTAGATTACAGTGAGACACTGACCTGTAAAAAAAGTATCAGTGTTGTATTTTATTATCAGACATCACAGGTAACAAAGCAGAACATTGTCCAACTTAAAAATAAATCAGGTAAAACACATAGTTTTAAAAGAACATCAAGGTTACGTGCACAGTGGTCATGTTTCAAGCCTTCTTAAAATTTCACAAAAAATATATACAGTATCTCACAAAAGTGAGTACATCCCTTACAGTTTTGTCAATATTTTGTTATATCTTTTCATGGGACAAAATTGAAGATATGACACTTTGATACAATGTAAAGTAGTCAGTGTACAGCTTGTATAACAGTGTAAATTTGATGTCACCTCAAAATAACTAAACTGCAATTTTTGCCTAAACCACTGGCAACAAAAGTGACTACAAACCTAAGTTGAAATGTCCAAATTGTGCCCAATTAGCCATTTTCCCTTTTGGTGTCATGTGACTCGTTAGTGTTACCAGGTCTCAGGTGCAAATGGGAAACAAGTGTGTTAAATTTTGTGTTATTGCTCTCAAACTCTCTAATACTGGTCACTGGAAGTTTAACATGGCGTATCGTGGTAAAGAATTCTCTGAGAACCTGAAAAAGAATTGTTGATCTACATCAGCGGTCCCCAATCTCAGTCCACGAGGGCCGGTGTCCCTGCAGGTTTTAGATATCACCTTGGGTCAACACACCTGAATCACATGATTAGTTCATGCCCAGGCCTCTGGAGAACTTCAGGACATGTCGAGAAGGTAGTTTATCCATTCAAATCAGCTGTGATGGATCAAGGGCACATCTAAAACCTGCAGGGACACCGGCCCTCTTGGACTGAGATTGGGGACTCCTGATCTACATAAAGATGGACTAGGCCAGGGGCCCCGAATCCCAAAGACAACTGTGTCTGGCCTACAGTCAAGCATGGTGGTAGGATGTCATTGTATGGGGCTGCATGAGTGCTGCTGGCACTGGGGAGGTACAGTTAATTGACGGAACCATGAATTGTAACATGTGACATACTCAAGCAAAGCATGATCCCTCCCCTTCAGAAACTGGGCCACAGGGCAGTATTCCAACATGATAGTAACCCAAAAACACACCTCCAAAATTTCCACTGCCTTTTAAAAAGTAAACTGAGGGAAAAAGTACTGGACTGGCTAAGCATGTCTCCAGACTTAAACCCTGTTGAGGATCTTTTGGGCATCCTCAAATGGAAGGTGGAAGAGCGCAAGGTCTCTAACGTCCACCAGCTCCATGATGTCATCATGAAGAAGTGGAAGAGGATTGCAGTGGCACCCTGTGAAGCTCCAGTGAACTCCACATTCAACAGAGTTAAGGCAGTTCCCCAACCTTATAAAGAGTACATTTACACAATGACTGAAACTAGCACCTCTGACTAACAATGGACTATGAGGTTAGTTCCTTGATCATTAATATGCCAGTTGTCATCACCATTGATCACTTGAATGAGTGACGAAACATTTCTCCCACTGAAAACACTATGTCCACAATCAACTTTCTGGGACAGATTATTGCTTGTTTTTGTCAGTGTCTGTACCTAAACAAGAACAACATCATAATAATACTAATAATAGGTGCATCATAACAATGACAGTAATGATAATAATATAATAGCAGAAAGATTGTTTACATTGAAGGGACTCAAAGTGCAGCTTCCTTTTGTGCATATTCAGTTAAACCTTCGCATTAGATCAACAAACTAAAAGAAGTCTGATTTCTAAATGATTTAATGTTCAGCTGGAGGAACAGACACAAGTCTGAATGTTTCACATGAAGATGAAGGTGCAGCTCAATGCTAGTGCTAAATCTCAGTAAAAACTGCGATACACACAAAGTGTACAAACTATTTAACTGTTGGTCTCAGTCGTGTCCTGTTTTACAGTCTCTGATTAAACATTTACTTTATAGCGTAACACAATAACAAAAAAACAAACAGAAAAACTCTTCTCTGTGTAGAGATTTTTGGGTCAGCTGGACCTATTTTCTTCCTACCTTTGTTTCTTTATTTCTTCCTCTTTTTCGTGAAGCTCTGTTACTAAAATACAGATCTAGTTGCTTGCTCAGGATTCAGCAGAACTAAGAATGAAAAAAGCACCTTGAGTACACATGATGAGTTTACTCAGAAACCAGTATGACCATCTCTTAGGTACTAAGTCCTTTCTAGGTTGTTTGTTTTAGAGGATCACTTGCATCACTTCAGTATGTAGATAAAAAGAAACATGTATCACATTTGCTGTGAATTTAATAGTGCTTAAATGTGATGCAACTGTGCCACATGTGATATTTAATGGCATCCCTTGTCATGGTTATGGGTCTTTTGACTCAGCATTTTGAGTGCCATGCCCTTTTGTATTATTGTCTTCTATTTTATGTAACTTAATTTTCAGATTGTTCTGTTGATATTGAGTTCTGTTCCCTATTTAGTTCATGTCTGTCTAGGTTCTTCCCATGTCTGTGTCTGACGCAGGACCCTGCAATATACACACACACACTCTCTCAAAAGTGAGAGGAATTGTCCTTAATTTATCCATAATTTATTAGTGGCAATAGAAGTGCGGTTTCGGCCATGATCGACGCAGATACTCCTCACTAGGGATGGGTATCATTTAGGTTTTATCCGATACCGGTGCCAGACCAGTACTTTTGAAATGGTGCCAGTGCTTAAACGGTGCTCGAACAGGTGCTTAAAGAATGGATAACACAAACTTTGTCCAAAAACCTCTTATGTTTTTATTTTTAGGAGTCTCTTTTTTTCTGAAAATGATAACCAAGTTTGCCTTTTCTGTTGATACAACATACCTCCTTTAGTTGGAACCAGTGCTTCAACAATGGAAAACACAAACTTTATCCTAAAACCTCTCATGTTTAGCTGGGTTTTTTTTTGTAAAAAGATAACAATGTTAGCCTTTTTTGCAGCTCTAGGGCATATATGGTATATATATGGTATCACTCTATCAAACAGGAAGCTGCATGTAACTACGACGGTGTTTGCTAGTTCACCTTA